GAGCTGAGCTGCCAGTTATAGCCTGCATTCTCAGGCAGGCTGCCCTACTCCTAGTAAGCTCTATCCACTGTCTCACAGGAACATTATCTGCAGGAATAACACCCAGGGGAAATTAATCATAAAGAGAATCAGCTATAGAAATCACTGACAGAAAAACATCACGGACAGTCCCCTGGCCGTCTTAGACATTACTTACAAGAGCCGTCAGCAATACCCTGTCTCCAGGGACCATTACTTTGAGGGAACCCTGCCAATCGCAGCATTACTTGGAAGGTACGTTTTTTTATGTTCCTCAAATGCCTACTGTCAAACTAAACCAAAGTTCTGAAAGGTTTCAAACACTTCCAAGTTTGGGTAAGTTAATATAGTTCCTGATTCGAGTGTGGCCTGGGGGCCAGGTACCCAAGAGTCTTTTCTCCCAGCCTAAGTGCGGACTTTGGTTTGTCAGAGCAGCTTTGAAAAATTCATACACTCCAGGGATTCTGATGATGTGGAGAGGACTTTATAAACCTAGAATTCTATTTCCAGCTGTCTTCTCTTGCATGGGGTAAGGAGGACAACTTCAGCTTCTCTGGATCGTTTTGAAAATTTTCCACCCAGGAGCAAAAAGGCACAGGATGAATGATTTAAAAAAAAAAAAAAGGTAAGAGCCACAACTTGCCCGTTTCAAATGCTCTCCTCCTACACCCAGAACCCCTACTGACTTGACAAAGGAAACAACTTGCACGAAAGTGCCCCATGTGGGAAACAGGGGACTAGAAATGACCCACGGCTCCTGACTGGGAGTTATCAATAGACCCATGTAATCATAATGTCATTACTTTGTTTTCACTAGATGACAAAGTTTTTGCAGTATCATTTGCTCTTGGCAGACCATATATCATCATTCTCCTCCCCTTAGTAATTTCTTCGCTGCAAGAAAAACTCTGGAAACCATCTTGAGAAATGGTGAAAAATACTTCCTTTTCATTTACAACTGCTTTTTTATGCACTTACTGTCAAAAGTTATAAACGAAAAGTTATGTGAGCCAACCAGGGAGGATTTGGGCAGTATAAATGCCTATCAGAAGAAAAAAATCTAGGTGCATTATTTAACAAGGTGTTTACAGGTAGCTCCAGAACCACAATATAAACACCCAATCATACCTCAAATATGGCACTTGTCATTCAAAGTATAACTCAGAGACCTTTTTTTACTTTTATTCTCCCACACAGTTTGTTGTAGAATCTCTTCATAATTTATGCATTTATTAACTAAACTTATTTCCTTAAGGTGGGGGTTAATAAGGAGGTATGCTGTAGACAAAGCATACTGTGAGGTTATCAAGACATTTTTTTTTTAAATCCCTTTTAATAACTTTGCATTCAACTTGAAAAAATAAGGATTTTGCAGCAACTCTTTTCATAGGCTGGGCAACTGTTCTCCAACTGCTCTGAATAATGGGCTGGCGGCAAGATGGAGGAAAGTGCTAGAGGTGTGGCAGAAAGTTCTGTCCTTGCCCTGCATGACAGTAACACTTCAGGAGCAGACACCAGGGTCAGGCTCACCGATTTAAAATAAAACAGCAGTCTCCCTGTCTGGAAAGAAGGAGTCAGAACTCAGAAAAATGGACTCTGGACTCAGAAAAATCTGTTTGAATTCTGGCTCTCCTACTACAAAAGCATATGATGTCCATGTAAGTCAAGGACATTAACTAGCCTAATATACTTTGCCACGACCATATCCCATCTGGAGCACTGTGTTCAGTTCTGTGCACCGCATTTTTTGAAAGAATATTTATAAAATATAGTAAAACCTGCAAAGTAAATCAGAAGGGTGAAAGGCTTACATAAGTGAGGGCTAAAGAAGGCAGGAATGATAAGGCTAAAAGAGAGAATTTTAGGAAGAATACAATTGCCCTCAAACATATAAAGGGCAGTGAAAACTCAAAGAGTAATCATAACTAATATGTGCTGAGTACTCAATATGTGTAAAGTACTCAGTGTTATTCACATTCTGCAGGTGAGAAAGCACAGGCCCAAAGGCCGAGTTATACGCTCACAGTCACATAATTTGGATGGGTGGAGCCAGAGCTCATCCCAATAGTCTGGCCCCAGGTATAGGGGAGATATGAAAGCTATACTCCAAATACTTTGTTTTGTTTTTTTTTTTTTCATTTTTAATTATTTTTTTAAGTAAGCTCTATGCCCAAAATGAGGCTCGAACTCATAGCCCTGAGATCAAGCGTCACATGCTCCACCCACTGAGCCAGCCAGGAACCCCTCCAAATATTTCTAATCTCTGTCTTACAGGATCATGGTAAGATTGCACCCTCCCAATTCTTTTGGACACAGGTTAGTGATTTGCTCTGGCCAGTGACATGTGAACCTAAGTCATGTTCACAACCTCAGCAAGGGAGTTCCAGAGCCTATGAGCAACACGCCCATGTTCTTCCTAACATGAGAGCATAGAGGTGAAACCTCCATCAGTCTAGGTCCCTGGGGGGAAATGATGGGCAGAGCTGCCCTGTGACCCATGGTGGACAAGTAACAGGAGCAAGAAATCAACTGTGACTGTTTCGTTAAGCCACTGAGATGTGGGGATTGCTTGTTACTGTGGCAATACCCAACTTTTCTGACAGATAAACAAACCCACATGCTTCAAGTCATTAAAATACCTCAGAAATTAAAAAAAAAAAAAAAACTCTATTCTTATATTTTAAAAGGTCAGAACCGAGAATAGTTTATAGAAACCACAAGTAGGCAGATTTGGGTTTAATTTAATTTTTTTAAAGTGACGTTTTCTGAAAGCTGCTTCACAAGGTACAGGCTCACTGAAAATGGTGGTATTTAAATAAGAGGCCAAAAGGGGCAGCTGGCTGGCTCAGTCAGTAGAGCATGGGACTCTTGACCTTGGGGTTGTGAATTCAAACCCCACACTGGGCCTAGAGTTTACTTCTAAAACATTCAAAACTAAAATATAAAAAATAAATGAGAGACCAGACAATCATTCTGCATCTATGTAGCAAAAAATATGGATTCATTAAGGAGGTTTAATATACCAGCCATTTCTGGAACACCTCCAGTGTTCCAGGCATTTCAGCTATAGTGATAAATCCAAACACACAATCCCTTCCCTCAAGGAAATAGCCATCAAGAACAGAAGTAGATAAGGTCTGCTGACTCTTGTAGCAGTGTGATTCAACCAAATTAGAGATAATAACAGGGCCTGAATGAAGCTGACAGCAAGCCTGAACTTACAAATAACCATGTAGCACTAGAAATCCTGCTGATGCTTAAGTTGTATTATTATTTTTCAATTAAGAGCCAAAAGTATAGGGTTTGCAAAAGGAAAGAAAACGAAGAGAATGTCTGGGTTTAAAGGAGGAACATTTTCCCTTTCTCTAGTTACCATCCTTAAATCTTGCAAACCAGGCATATTATCTGGCTGACATCAGGGGTGTTCCAGCAAAGGGAATAGCACTGACTCACAGCAATTGTTACCGACCTTTTCCATCACTTTTCCCACCCCTTAGAGTCAGGAAGGGAACATTTCAATAGGGATCAGCTCAGACCTGAAGAGAGGCGATAATCTTCCTGGAACGCCATTCTTAAGTTTAGAAATCAGCCACAGCTTTTCCAAAATATCCGAAGTTTTTCCTAAAAGGGTATTTGAGCAGGGCCTACAGGGATCCCATACTCTAAGGATGATATGAAAATCACCAACTAAACGAGTGTTTCCAAGGGGCACGGACATTGTTTCCCAAAGGTGTTTTTACACAATACTAACTTCAGTGCTTTCTTTCCCCAGTGGTATCAATAATTAAAGCTTTGTTTATTTTTTTAAACTTCCCAAAATCAAACAGTGCAGAGATATGCCTTCCTTTGACTGCCTCACTGCATTTGAATGGAAAAACATCTAAAACTTGGGTAAGCATTAACTGTAATTGCTCTGGGGCAGACATTTCCATTTTGGGTTATTATTCATACCAGTATTCACAGAGAATAATATATGTGGATGGATTTTGCAGCCATTATCTACACAAGAGTGACGTATCTGATTGTTCCCCAACTCAAAAGCGTCAGTTTGAACTTCGAATACTCCAGCCCTGCCCAGACCCTGAATTTTCTGAACTACGGTTCTGATTTTCTATGAAATAAACAAATAGATGAGAGCAGGCTGGATTTCAGTGCCATACCTTCAGCCAGTTCAGGGTGTCACGAGTTTCTCAAAAACACACATACAGAAGAAATTGGCTTTGGCACATGGAAAAGCAGCAGAGAATTTGCAGCTTGTGCTAGTTTAAAGTGCACCCTTAATACTCTTGCCTGTTTTCAAAAATAAGTGATAGTCTTCCAGAGACAGCTGGATCCCTGTGGTACCCAGTCTTGCAACAAGCTTTGTACACAAATGTACACTTTACAAACACAGATGTGAAATGTCGACCTAGGACAGAAGAGAGGCACGCAGATGAGGGTGTTTAGTCTAGTGGCTCCACACCCGAAAGTTTCAGGGACAGAGCTGATGTTTCAAAAGTAAGAGGGGGGACCGCCCATCCTGTACGTTCATCCGGGAACTATGGAGATGACCCCCCATCTTCCCAGCGCCAGTGTGCCCTCTGCCCTGGTGACCCGGGTTGAGATTTAATCGAGGGCCAGAGTGGGGCCAAGACAATTGTGCCAGTGGTTACTCAGACGGAGAGAAGGGCTAGAAATCACGAAGCCTTCCTGGCTGGCCCGGCTGACACACCCACCCAGACCCGCCGGCCCAGGGGTGCTGCGGGGAAGCGGGGGAAACCCGCGCACCCGGGTCCCGCGCCCACGAAGATGCTGCAGTTAGGAACCCGCGCGAATATCGGTCCGGGCTGAGAGGTCGCGCTACGCTCAGCAGAGGATGCCCTTCACCTCCCTGTCCCCCTTCCCCCGAGCTGAGTGAGCGGGAGAAAGTTGTGCCCGGGCCGCGTCGCCCCGGGCTGCCAAGGGAGCGAGGGCGGGAGGAGGAGAGCCGCGGGCCCCCTTACCTTGTCCTTGGGGCCGAGGTTCTGCAAAACCTCCTTGCCGGTGGCGCTCCGGATCTCCACCCCGGCGGGCGCGGGCGACGCGGGCGACGCGGGCGCGGGCTCCCTGCCCTCCTCCCGGCCTTGGCCCCGGCGCGGGGTGTCCCCCTCCACTCCCGGCCGGCTTCCGGAGCCGCGGCCGCTGCCCTGGCTGCTCCGGGGAGTCTTCGCGCCCCGCTGCCCCACGCTCAGGGCATCGAAATCCAGCGTCTTGCTCTCGAAGGCGCCCTCCACGTTGCAGAACATGCCGCCGTACTTCTGCCGCGGGACCTGGTCCGTGGTGCCCGGCCTGGCCAGGTACACGGGCAGATCGTCCTCGTGGGAGCTGTCCCAGCCCCTCCGGCCCGAGGCCATGGTTCAGGCGCACGGCGGGCCCGCGGCTTTGCTCCCCCAGAGGCGGAAAGGGCAGCCGCCGGCAGCGTGCTCCGAGCCACAGTGACTGGGGCGGGAGGAGGCGCCTGAGCGTTCGCGCCAGAGGCGGCAGTGCAGCTCCGGTTGCTGCCAGTCCCCAGCCAGCCAGCGAGCGCGCGGCGCAGGGGCCGGGGCAGCGGCGCGCTCCGGCTCGGGACCTGTCGCCCGCCCGCCGCCCCTCGGCGCGCACCCGACCCTAACGTGGCCTCGCAGGGTCGCGCGGCCTGGGGGCCCCTTGGAAAGTAGAAATCCCAACTTGGCGCGCGCGCACACACACGCACGCACGCTTCCCGCTCGCCCAGCGGCCCCCAGATTCACACTCAAGAACTCGCCTCTCTCGCACAGGCACAGAAACCCTCTTTCACCCACACTGACTTCCGAGTGTGCCTCTCAAACACAAACCTCTCTGCCCCGCTCGAGCACGCAAACCTAGTGGGCTCAGGTGTGTTCGTGTCAAAGCCGGGCTCTGATTTACAACAACACGCACCCACACAGATGTGCCAGACTCACAATCCTAGTCTTTGCTTACCCATAATCCCAGATTTGTCTCCTCATCTTAGAATTGTCTCACAATTGTCCCCGCTTCTAGAATCTGCCTCACAAACCTGCATCCTCAAATAAAGAACCTCTGAATCGGTACCCTCTTCAATGACGATCACAAAAGCCTGTAATTGACTCACAGACAAATCTACCCTCGAACCATTCTCACCTCATATTTAGCACCCTAGATTTTGCTTTTTAAGCACCCATAATTTGTCTCCCAGACAATTACATTATAGGTCAAAGGCATGCACAGGTCCCTGGGTTGTGCCTTGCAGAATACTTCCAATACCCTGTCCTCATACAACCAACCCACCGCTAATACCCCACAAGCTGACTGAAGCTTGGGTTTACGCCAGTCAGAACCCTCCACGTGGACTCACACATCAGCTAAGATTTACCTCAAAAATGCACAACCAAAGACTTTGCCTTGCGCGTTACCTCAGTTCCACACAGATTTTGCTTATGTATATGCCTGCTCTCACAGCCTCATTCTCTTCCCCCTTGTCCACCCACATATACTCTAACCCAGACTTTGCCAGTAAACAGAGTCCTCGAACCTGCAGAGCTCATATGGTATCTGCACACAGAGCCTAAATCAAGAATCTGCGCCCACGTTAAACTAGACCCCCTTTCAGAATTTCACTCCTTTAGTCATTCATCCAGTGTGAACTGAAGGCCTGCCGTGCTCTTCGCAAGATACTAAAGGGACAGTGTTTAACAAGGCAGATGGGGGCCTGTCCTCACCAAGAGTGTAGTCTCCAGCCACCCACCTAGGGAGCACAATCAATCACTATTCCTCATGACATACTAAACTTTATTGCCTGAACCCCGCCACTACATCATAGACTCCATGAAGTCCAAGAGCTGGTCTGTTTAGTTTACTATGAAATATCTTGAGTCCAAAACATCTGCAGGCACATAATAGGAGCTCCGTAAATCCTTTTTGAATAAATGGTAATGATAATAATAACAAGTGCAGCAACAGGGAACATTTATGGAGCTGTTGCTGTGTGCCAGTCACTACTGTAATTGTGTCACATATAGTAACTCACTTAAAGCTCATCAGCATATGGCAGGCTTCTTTGTGCACACAGACACTATCTTTGAAGGCATCTGCAATCAATTTGGTCGACTGAAACTTGCAACCGCAATTTTGGAGAGTAACTAGGGATATTGGAAAACGGGATTTCGATAGCAGGATCGTGACAGTCATGAAAAGTTGGGGGATGAGGTTGACCTGAACTCTGATCACAGACAAGTATGTCGACACAGGTTTTACTTGTCCCCCATCCCCGTGAGGAGAGAGACTCTTGCTTCATTCACTGCATGTGCTCTATCACATTATTCCTGATTTCTTGAGCAGACTGCCTCTGGGAAGCTGCCTCCTTCTTAACAAATGCTGGTGGCTGACAGACCCAGAAATTCATGTGACAGGTTGGTAATATAGGCTCTTCCATCCCTCTTTGCTCACACAGGTTACTTCCTTCCTCTTCCCTGTTGCTTTCAAACTCTTCTTCACTCATTAACTCATTTACAGACTTTTAGGGGGACACTTGCTATGTGTCCAGCATTGTCCTGGGTTCCCTCCTCTGTGGAACATAATTCCAATAGGGGCAAAGAGATGATAAATAAGAAAGGTCAGTTCAGATTGTCAATCATAAGAGTTATGAGACATAACATAGAGAAAAAGATAGCCAACTTTTAATTTTTTTTTACCGTTTATTTATTTTTGAGAGACTGAGAGAGACAGAGCATGAGTGGGGGAGGGGCAGAGGGAGAGGGAGACACAGAATCTGAAGCAGGCTCCAGGCTCTGAGCTGTCAGCACAGACCCGACATGGGGCTCGAACCCACGAACCACGAGAATGAGCTGAAGTCGGACACTTAACCGAGTGAGCCACCCAGGGGCCCCTAAGATAGCCAACTTTTAGATTGTTTGGTCAGGAGAGTCTTCCCTCTCTGACTCCTCACAAACACCACGGGCACCAGCATGGTGCCCCATCAGCCAGGGCGACAATAAAGATATTAGCTAACATTTATTAGGACTTTATTCTGTGCCAGGCTCAGTGCTAAGGACTTTCCATACACTATCTTAAATTCTGATTAGTAATCTCTTAATTAATAATACTACAAGTCATGTACTATTATTTCTATTTTACTAGCAAGGAGGCTGAGGCTCTGAGTGAGTGCCCAGGTTGTGACAGAACCATAACTAGAAGGAAGATATGCGCAAAGAGTCTGAAGTTTCCTTTGAGAGGGGAACATTCTGAATGTAGATGCGTGCCTGTCTGTGCTTAGGTGTGTGGGCGCTTGGGCGTAGATAAGCCCCATCGTGGCAGCCACGTTGCCTCACAACTATGTCTGTTGCAATGCATAAGCTCCATAATTACATTTGTTGACAAAACATCACATCTGAAAGTCAACAGCTGCATATACACATATGTGTTTAATTAAGAGAGCAAAACAGCCTTTAAAAGAACACTAAAATGGGAATGGCTGATGTGACTCCATCCAACTCTGCAACTATGTGGCTTTAGGCCGAGTGTCTTACTTAACTTCTTGATGTCTTTCTGCTTCATATTTGCCTCACCCACCTAACGGGACTGTAAGGATTTCATTCCTTGAATAAACCATTGTGTTAAGAATTTCACATGCATTGCCTTAACCTTCACAACAACTCTGTAAATGTGGTGTGATTACTATCCTCATTTTACCAGGGGAGAAAATGAGGCCTACACAAGTTAAGTTTCTTGCCCAAAGTATCACACTAGCATTTCAAGCTAGAATTCATTTCCCTGATAGCTGGTCCAGAGACTGTGCTCCTAAAAACCACCCCACGACAGAGCTCTGTTCTAAGGATTCAGAGAGGTAATAACGGGAACACCAGAAGTAAGGTGTTAACAAATTGAAAAATCCTAAGTGTCCCAGCTGTTTGGGGGCAAAGGTAAACTTTAAGACAAACACTCACATAAAGAAATATTCCGCCAGTGTCCTCCTAACAAAGGCATCATAGTTGCATGAACACCTGCTGATTTTATCATGTCTGTCTCTAGCAAGGTAGAGGAAACATTACTTATGACAGTCACAAACATAAGGGCAGCTATATGTCTATGGCCACCTCAGGTCACTCTTTCCAGCGAAGGGTTTATCTAAAACAATGCACAAATAGCAAGCTATTTCTATAACACGGGCAGCAAAATAGAGCTTTCAACTTGTCACACACCAGATCAAATTTGCACTTCCTGTAACTCTGCAGTAAATGACTTGCCACTTGCATTGACATGACTTGTTATGTGAGCCCATGGCATATCCAATTATAACTTTAGGGAAATGTATTCTGGAGGCATCTTCTATTACCTATAGATCAGTGGAAGGCAGAGACTCCTCTATAGTAAGCAATATGTGCACGTGCAATCCTGATACAGCATAGAGTGTCTTTTATGGAAAATAAATTGTGCTGAATTCTTAAAAGCAAAAATCTATCCAGCAGAAGATACGATATTCATACTAAGGTGGTGACTCCATACTTAAAATAAGGGGAGAATAGAGGATTTATACAGTTTACCTTGACTCAACAGTGAACTTAAATATTTCTGATCAAAACCCATCCCATCTTTTCCATCCTTGAATTGCAGGAATTTGAACCTCAGTTATTTCTACCCCATTTTAAGGGTACAGAGATGGGAAACATCATTTTTCACCCTTCAGATGACATATATGTATGAGGCAACCTTTGCAAGATATTCAGCACTCTGCCTGACACACAATAGATGCTCAGGAAATATTAGTCCCCCATTTCTTCAGGGTATATTTAGATGTGTCATTAATATCACAGAGTTCCTAATAATGAGCTTGAACTTGTCCTGTAACTTTAGCTTTGTAGGATTTTATGGAACAAATTGAAATTATGATAATGTTTAGTATACATGTTAAAAAGTGACTTCTATTTTCAATATACCTTCATCACACCTTAGGAATTCTGACAAACCTTGGGGCACCTGGGTGGCTCAGTCGGTTGAGCGCCCCACTCCAGCTTAGGTCATGATCTCACAGTCTGTGAGTTCGAGCCCCGCGTCGGGCTCTGTGCTGACAGCTCAGAGCCTGGAGCCTGCTTCAGATTCTGTGTCTCCCTCTCTCTCTCTGCCCCTCCCCCCGTTCATGCTCTGTGTCTCTCTGTCTCAAAAATAAATAAGAACATTAAAAAAAAAATTTTTTTTTAAGAATTCTGACAGACCACTATTGAGAGTCAGCTCAATATTTGGTGACTAAAGTGTTCATTAGGAACCAAAAAACAGGGGGGCATTGGGTAACTCACTCTGTTAAGCATCTGACTCAATTTCATCTCAGGTCATGATCTTATGGTTTGGTTCTTGAGTTCGATCCCTGCATCAGGCTCTGTGCTGATAGCATGGAGCCTGCTTGGGATTCTCAGTTTTCCTCTCTCTGTGCCTCCCCCATTCCCTCTCTCCCTCTCTCTCTCTCCCTCTCTCTCTCTTGCTCAAAATTAAATAAATATTAAAAAAAAAAAGAAACCCAAAACAGGTCATTTTTCAAATATATACAC